CTCAAGGTTCTTGGTCTGAAAAATAAAAATTCTCGCGCCGAAGGGGTCAACCAGCCCAGTTCAGCTCGTCGCCACCTGCTCCCTCCTCCTTTGATGGCGAAGACTGCAACAAGAGATTTCTTATGGGTTGGAAGAGGTGTCTCTCCTAGCCCGTTCGGCCTCTCCAGCGAGTTTCGTGCTAATAATGGTTATGTCAGCTTGTTTGAACGCGTCCGTTGTTGTATGTCTCATTCGTAGATCTCCCCCCTGTGCGGACAACCGAACCACCCATCCCTCATCACCACCCCCAGTTCTACCCCCACTGGTCACAAGTACAACCAACCACGACGGGAAGGATGCACGTCCATGGTTAGTACAGAATCATGCACGAAAGTCGACGACTATTAGTCTAAGCCCTGTTCACAATGAGTGAAGAAACATGCCTCAAACTTTCACCGACCACCGCTCACTGAGCAAGGCAAGGTAAAAGGCAGGGCTCGAAGGTAGAGCACATCACCAGCACTGAAAGTAGTTAACCTCACGAGGACGTGTGTGTAAAAATCATTTTTCTCCAGACTGTTTTTGTTGTTGTTGTTGTTGTCTTCACATTAAAAACCATCCCGGTCTCTTTATCCAGTACCTCCTTCTGTCTCAATCTCTCCGTACGATCCAGAACTTGACTCGGTCAATTTCCGTGGTCACAGGCTAACGTACCTAGAAAAGGTATGCCAAAATAAAATGGACCACGGAACGTGCGCACCACCAGCCTGGGGGGTAGCCTTCCGGAAGGACCCCAAGGGTCAGCAGTACGTGCCAGTACAAAAACAAAACAAAATAAAACGAAATAAATCAAAGACAGACGAGGACATAAACAAACTCGCACAGAGACAGGGATAATATCCGTAGAGACAGTCTGAACGCGACAGCAAACGGGGGAGAGGGCAACAGAAAAATTAGTCGCTGAAATTCAACCGCAACACGTCACGTCACGCGGTCGGTCTGCTTCCCTCGCCGTTTCCTCCCGCCCCCCTCCCGCCCCGTTGATTGGTGCCGTATCTAGACTATTTTTTGGCCCGCTGTCTCCTCGTTTGATGGCTCGTTGTCGGCTGGCCTTCTCCTCGCCCTTGTGCCAAGAGGCCATAAGACTGTGGACCACAACATTCGTCTGTCGACCACTCACCGCAGTCAGTGGTCAGCATATTCTATGGTCTCTTCCAGACTGATTATGCTCAGGGTGGGTCCTACGTAATTTTTTTGGACTCGAACATCGAACATCGAACAAGCGGTGTAATCATGTGATTGGCCAGGAAGGTCCAACAGCCCAAAGAGATGTTAGGGTTTTCGAGTTTTTGTACGCCGGATCTTCCAGGGGCGATTCCGCCTAAAACTCTAACA